TTGAACCCTTTGTGTCTCTCTGGCAAGATGTTCTGCTCCTGAATCAGCTGAGTGGGTCTTGCCTCTAGCCTCTTTGCAGGGAGTTCTGCTGAAGGTTTCCCCGCAGGGCCTACGCTCTGGGTCTGTCCAGGATCCCGTGGCCTGGGTCGTCTCACTCACTCGCCGGGCCTGCGCTCTGGGTCTGTTCAGGATCCCGTGGCTCAGGTTGTCTCACTCACCCGCCGGGCCTGCACTCTGGGTCTCCCTAACCCTTTCTAATTTGGCTTTTTAATTTTTATTTTGGTGGTGGTGGTTCTGGGAACCAAAGCCTTGGTTCCCACATATACTAGGCAAGCACACTCTGGAATACCCACAGCTGAGCTACACCTGCAACTCCTGATAGCCCTTTTGGAACGTTTGGATACTGTGTTTTTCCATTTGCTTGAATTCATATGTGTCGTTTTCCTCAACTGAATCAGATGTCTTTGAAAATTAAATGTGTAGGGTTTTGTTGTTAGGTTTTGGTTCTGGGGATCAAAGCCTGGTCCTCACATATGCTAAGCAAGTACCCTCCCACTGAGCCATAAGCTCAGCCCCGCCCAGTGCATGGGTTTTGTTAAGTCAGCAGGAATTCTGACCATTTTGATGCCTTAATGAGAGGCTCTGTAGCATGTGCTGCAGCCTTGTATTGCTCTGAAATTTCTTTTGCTGATTCCGGGGGAAATGGTGTTTTCTGCTTTTGCCTTTGTGTTGCCTGGCAAGTGCCAGTGGCCCAGGATCGTAGTGGCTAGCGTGACTGCCGGCGGAGAGGACAGCGCAGAGAGCGGCCGGTGGGCAGCAGCACTGAGCAGGTGAGGGCTGCATCACAGCTGCCCGCTAGCGTGCCAGGGTGTGAGCTTGTTCTCATTGCTCATGTGTTAAACTATGAGAAAAACACAGCCTTGGAATGGATGGATTGGGCTAGAATGTAACAGCGTGATCAGCCACATTAAAGCACAGCCACAAGGGAAGTTACGGGCTACCCATGCTACAGGGCGTTATTCCACAGCGAAAGCCTCATGATACAAATATTTCTGTATATGTAAATGACATTCCATACAAATTGTATGGATTAATTTACTAGGTGATTGGACTCCGGCTGGGTTTCAGACACTAGGGCAGTGGTGGCAAGTCGCCCCAGCAGCCCAGCATTGGATAGCAGCTGTTATTTCTAAACTAAAACCTCAGGTTCAGCTGTGCTGGTGGCATTTGCGATAAATCCGTGCGTTTTAATTCCAGCTCAAGCACTGGGCCTCTAAAAGACTCGGCATCGGGGCACTAGGGAAAGCGCTGTTTTGGGTGTTCAGGGTATGTGTGTTCTAGAGAGCAAGTGAAGAGGAAGGATTGGTATAATAGCGGCAACGGGAGCGTGTGTGCCCCCTTCAGCAGCTCGCGTACTAAGCAGACGTGAGTGCCGGGGCACAGATGCAGAAAGCCCTGGGAGGGGGCCTTAGTGCTGCTGGGACCTTGCAGGGCGTGACAGGCTGAGGGCCAGAGGGAGACGCCTCCTCCAAGGTTTAGGGAAGAGCAGAGGGGAGGAGCCTGTGGCCTGCCGCAGGCCAGACAGCAGGGCAGAAGCTTGGCTGGGGAAGCGGGGCAGAGAGGAAGCACAGTGGGTGGGCAAAGTGATAAAGGCGGAGCGTGCTCAGCACCAGATGGGAGCTCTCCTGGGGGCACCATCACCGAGCATGTCAGGTTCCAGGTGACAGGAGAAGACGTTGCTGGCACAATGAAACTGGATTGTGTTTTTAAGAATCCCACCCCGGCTCCTGTGTGGATTATAGGGTGAAGGGGAAGCTAGTTAGAAGGCTGGGAGGAGCTGTGCGTGGTGGCACACGCTGTGGTCGCACTGCTCTGGGGGGCTGAGGCAGGGGATTGTAAATTCAAGCCGTGCCTGGCTGCTTGGTGGTTTAGCAAGACTCTGTCTCAGAATAAAAAATGAAAAGGGGTTGGGGACGAAGGTCAGTGTGAAGGGCCAGCGTTCAGTCCCTGGGGATGGTAGTGGGGAAGAGATGGTGTCGGCATCCGCCTAGCTGGCTGGAGCCCAGATGGAGATGTCCAAGGAAGTCAGCTCTTTCGAAAGGATTATAGGAGCAAATGGAGACAGCCTAGGTTTCAAGTCTGAGCACCTGGGGAAGGTAAGGCAGTAACTGAGAAGGACACAGGCAGGGACGGGGCGGGGCATGAGCTGGGAAACAGCAGGACTTGCAGGAAGTGTGAGCTGTGGAGGAGACACCTGGCAGCACCAGGGCGGCCGGGACTGAGACACTCATCTGGGGTCATTAGCAGAAAGTTGGTTGGAAATGGGTGTGCTTGCCAGAGTCCCTGGCACCGGCCTAAGCTTTGAGGAATGCCAGTATTTAGAGGTTAGGCAGCAAGCGTGAAGAGCAGCTGTCTGTGGGGCAGGAGGGAGGGCGGAAGAGCCCCAGGAGACTGGGAGCATCGTGGAGTCCTCCTAGGGACCCCAGAGTGAGCTGTTCAGTGCCCTCGCTGGGATTACAAAGATGCTAAAACCTCTGAAGAGAGGCCGCAGCTGTAGCTTAGTGGTGCAGCACCTGCCTGACAGGTGCAAGGTCATGAGTTTGATTCCTGATACAAAAAACAAAACTGTGAAGAGGCTGAATATAATTCTTGTGGAGGTTTTTTTCTTTTTAGACTGGGTCTCACTATATAGTTCAGGCTGGCTATGAACACATTTATGTAGCCCATGCTGACCCGAAACTTGTGGCGATCCTCCTGCCTCAGCCCCCCAAGTGCTGGAATTTTAGGCATGCACCACGTGCCTGGCCAAAAAAAAATTTTTTAAAGAAGGAAATGGAAACGGGCAGTGTGCTGTGACAAAAGGACTTTCTGACAGAAAACCTGCCAGACACATGCTGCAAGGGGAAGCTCACGGTGTGGATCTTTCTTTTTCTTAATGGGCTGTGGGGAATCCTGAATTCTTTCTCGTGAGCAGGGGAAATAATTGAAGTGTGCAAACACATCTGGAAATATCCCTTAGTTCCTGACGACGGCCTTGGTTCTTACAGGTGTGGTATGCTGCGTCCTACGCGGAGTTCGTGAACCGGAAAATTCATGACATTTCTGAGGAAGAAAGGAAAGGTGGTTGAACTTTCACACTGTGCATTTTCTAAGTTACTTGCATTACTTCTAAGTTGTGTCTGTTACATCCTTAGACAGCCCCTAATTTTTCCACCTTAATATATTTTAGAAGATATTCCAAAAGATTTCTTAGAGCTACCCATCTCCACCCAAGCCCAAGATCAAATTACAGTGATATATTTACAGCTCTTTCAGGAGCACTAGAAAATTGTATTTAATATAATGAAAACCTCCAAAGACCAAGTTAGAACCTGGACCCGAGGATGATTCCTGTCTGGCCTTAGTCACCTCTGAGGACACAGCAAGGCACACGTTGACTCTGTTTTTATTGTGAATGCTTCTGAGGTACAGTCTGCACACAGGGAGTGCACAGGGCATTAAGTACACTGGGAGCACAGCTGTGGGCGTTCCCAAGTGAGATGACTCTCCCGACACCCAAAAGCACACATAGATTGTTTGTTACTGCACTGTGCATCAGTAGAATGCAGTGACATGCATACTTTTTGTGCCTGGGCATCTTTTGTTCAATATTCTGTTGTTATATGTAATTGTAATTTGTTCTTGCTCGATGCTGTTTGCTGTTCTGCTACCTAAATGCAGAATGCTCCTTTGTCTTACTGTAGACTTGGCTGCACAGTGCAATTAGTAACTGCCCTGAGTCAGATCAGATTTCCCAGACACTTCCGACACCAGGGCCAAGATCTAGCATTCCCAAGTCCCCTGCGTCCCGACCAACTTGCCATAATTCAGAGGGCTCCTATACTTGCTCAAGGCGATGACTCTCTATAGTGACTCCCGTAATGAGGAAAACGCTTTACATATGATTACAGTTTCATTACAAAGGATTAATTAGGTGAAAAAATAAAGAGAGGCCTGGCAGGACTCAAGACAAAGCTTCCGGCTCTTTGTGTGTATTCCCTTCCTGCACACTGTTATATCGTTACCTATCCTAGCCTCCCGCCTGAACGTCACTGTTCAGAGTTTTTATTGAGCTCTCACCACATTGGCACAATTGATTGAGTAACTGGCCATAGGATTAAACTCAGTACCGCCCTTCTTGGAGGGGCATCAGCCTTCTAATCGCAGGGCTGGACTTGCTGGTGCGGCTGTGCCCTTGCTGAGTCATCACTTCAGCCTAAAGGGCGGTAGGGTGAGGGCTCGTGAGTAACGGGCACTCCTGTCTGTCAGGAAGTTCCCTTCCTATAGAGGTCACTTCCATGAAGCAGCAACAGAGGCCAGCCAGATTCTCGCCGCAGTAGGAGCTTTGCAGCTTTTGGCCAGTGTGAAGAGTTCCACCGTGTCTATTCTTATACATGACTTAATGAGCGCTGGTGCAGCCTTCTGTTCCATGCACATCTGGAGGTGGAGTTGCCAGGTGATAGAATATACGTATATTTCACATTTGGTGATATTTCTGAATATTTTGCTAAGATGATTATATTATGTGTTGACTTTTAAGTTATGTGTGACTTAATGTAACCTTAAATAGTGAAATTTGGATCTGCGTCATTTTTTGTCTTTCCAGTGTGGCGGTAAGATTTGTATGTGTGTATTTCAAGATGTGAGAGAGAGTGGTGTGAGGGTATGGTTCCTTTGATGTCTTGCATGAATGTATTAGAAATAAGGTTCTAAAAGCATTTCTCTGTCAAATTTTAGCCTTTGATTTATAACAAAAAAAGTAATACAAATAGCAGCTTGCGTCCGAGTGAGGTAGTGGTCTCAGTAGTGAGCATCTGAGCGTCTCTTCACCATCAGCCCTCAGGATGCCTTTTCTCTTGTGACTGTAGTTCTTCGTGAGCAAGAGAAGAACTGGCCCTGCTATGAATGCAACCGCCGGTTTATAAGCTCAGAACAGTTGCAACAGCATCTCAATTCTCATGACGAAAAACTGGACGTGTTTAGCAGGTATGTATTCAGGAGGAGGACTCATAAACAAGTTCTTCTTAATGGTTTAGCGTTTCTATATGTCTATAAATGAATAGTGTGTGTGTGTGTGTGTGTGTGTTTAGACTGACAGGAAACCTACGCTGGTGAGAGAGACTACTTCTACATTGTTTAAGCTTCCTTTAACTAGACATTTTGTTTTTATTTTATTTTATTTTATTTAGAAACAAATATCAATGAGACAGTTTCAAAGCTGATTAATAGGACACTTTCAATAATTAATACCTTGTACATTGTTATCTTCTTAGTGGTTATCCACAGTACAAGAAGCAGAGAGGATAAGACAGGATATCCTGTCCAAACACTATTACTACAAATCTTTCTTCTCATTGAATTAAGCGAAAGTAGCTGTATATCTATCCTAACTATTCTGTATATACAAATACAAAATGGTCCTTCCTTTGTATCTTTTTTTTTTTTTCAGTCCTGTCAGAGATGGGTATTCTATTAGCATCTAAATACTGTAGGTGCTTGAATTCAGCAAAACAATCCAACACAGTCTAGCAGTGCACAATATTAGTGGGTTATCTGCAGAAGTTTTAACTAGACATTTTGAAGTAAGAATCTTTGAGATAACATATACCGTTGAAATCCTGAGCTCTGGTTTATAGACTTTTTCCAGCAGCACAATTCCTTTGTCAAACTAAGTCATGTGACCCATAGTACACAAAAGACAGATGAGGGGAGAATTGTGTAGGATGGGGTAGTTGGGGCTAAGCCAAGTAGGGTCTTTAGGATGATGGTAAGAAATTTGGGTTGTATTCTAATTGTGATAGGAAGTGTTTACAGGATTTTGACTAGTTACTTATGTGATATCAGTTGCATTTTTAAAGATAAAATGAAAATATCAGGGGCAGGGAGATGACTCAGTGGAATAAACGCTTTCCTGGTAAGCCGCAAGGGCCTGAGTTCAATCCCTGGTTCTGCCAAAAAAAAAAAAGAAAATATCAGATTTGTTTATATTGGCATAAAGTAAAACGTGGGATCCAGTTAGAATCTGTTGCAACAGTTCAGGTAAGGCAGTTAGGTTTGTTTGGAATAGGGACAAGTGTAGAGTTGTCCACTTACAAGAATAGGAAAGACAGATATGTTAGTCAGCTGTCTGGCACTGACAAAATACCTGAGAAAAAAATTTAAAAGAAAAAAAAGGTTTGTTTGGGCTATGGCTGCAGTCCATGGTAAGCTGATAGTCACCGTTAAGCCTGTGGTGAGGCAGAACGTGATGGTGGAGGAGGCTGCTCACGGCAAGGAGCAAGAGAGGCCAGGATCCGTACAGGCCTTTGAAGGCACGCTCCCAGTGACCTGCTCCTCCCCACTGGGCTCACCTCCCGGAGTTTCCTCCATTTCCCACTAGAGCCACTAGCTGGGGACCGTCAGCACATGAGCCTTTGAGCGACATTTAAGAGCCACACTGGTGATCCCAGCACTATGAGACGTGGAGGCAGAAGCATAAATTTAGGCCTAGTTTTAGTTACTTAGTGAGACTGTCTCCAAGAAACAAACAAAACCAGCCAAACCATAACATGTAGAAAAGCTGGAGAAAGAGAGAGAGACAGAGAGACAGAGACAGAGAGAGCGAGCGTGAGCACGAGAGCACGTTCTAGGGACATACCATACGGTTGCCCACAGTGCTAAGTGCCCACTTGAGGTTCCTGCTCATGAAATGAAAGTGAGCGAGGGCAAGGGGAAGGGGAGGAGCGGGCAGGGAATTGGATTACGCCAGGGCTGTGGTTTTGCTAAGTGTGTCCAACATAGTGAGATAAAGCAGCAGCAGCAGGGGTGGGAGTTAAGAAGGAGGACAGAGGAGTGGCTCCCGCGCGTGAGCCTGGAGTGCGCGCTGAGGCGGCAGAAGACTGCCATGCAGGTGCTGCCTACGGCGAGGGACGCTGGTCCGGGTACCTGAGAGGTTCCTGAGAGTGAGGAGATGGGTCAGCGTGGGCCGTGTGTGGAGTCAGCGCTGTCCTAGCAGGTCTCTCTGCAGTGTGACCACCAGATTAAATGTCTGGGGGTGGAGTGGACACAGTGCACCTTGAAGCACTCACTCCTCGGTAGCCCTGACATTTCATTGTGACTTTGGGTTTGTATGTCTCCTGCCGCTACATTTTGTGTCTTTAGTGCCTAGAGCAGTAGGCACCTGTTAAAAGAAACTTGAGACATGGGGCTGGAGAGATGGCTCAGTGGTCTAAAGCACCTACTTGAAACAAGCTTGGCAAAGCACAGGGACCGTGGTTCGATCCCCAGCACCACATGCCAGCCAGACCCGCCCCCTGGTGGGCTGAGCTGGCCACACACACACACAATAAATAAATGTAATAAATAAAAATAAATAAATATTTAAAAAAAAAAAAAAGAAACTTGAGACAACTTGGAAAATTTGAAGTACGACTAGGTAGCGGAGGCGTACGGAGGATCTATGAGGGGTATTTTTGGGCGTGGCCACAGTATCGTGGTGTTGCATACACAGAAAGTCTTTGTGATGTGGAGATACGTACCGAGATGTTTGCAGATGAAAGTCTGGGCTGGATCTGTGTGGGGAAGCAGTGTGTCTAGATGGAGGGCGTATCACACGTGACCACGCGCTCAGTGTTCAGGACTGTGGGTACCTTGTGCTCATTAGCCCTGGTCTCTGTATTTGCCCGTGTTCAGAATTTGCCATAGTCAATTTGTTTACAGAGTTCCCCGAAGCCGGGGGCACTGGCATGTGCTTGCAATTTGGCTGCTTACGAGGCTGAGATGGAAGTATCCTTTGAGCTCAGGAGTTGAAGACCAACTTGAGTAATATAGCAAGCGCCCTCTCAGAAACAAACATAAAAGAAGTTCCTGAAAAAGCATATATTTGTTGAATAGACACATGGAAAAGTAAAACATGACCTGGCAAATATACACTTCACATCTTCTGAAAGAAAACTTGGTACAGGATCTCACTATGCAGCTTGGACTCGTAGTGATCCTCCTACTTTCAGTCTCCCCAGGGCTGAGATTACAGGCATGTGCCACCACGCCTGGTCTCGGTGGCCAGCTCCGTGTGCCCAGGCGTGGGGCCGGCACGGCATATGGTAACGGGGATTGAACCCTGGTCCCTGCACTTGCCTAAGCAGGTGCTTAGTCCACTGAGCTATCTTGCCAACCCTTTTAAAGATATTATCATGATGTCTCTCACTGTTTTTAAAAATTCTTTTCTTGCTAAGTGGTCTCAGCTGGCTTTGAACCTGTGCCTCTCCTTCCTCACCTCCGTGGCAGCTGTGATGACAACTATATGCCACCACACCCACATTCTTCTAATGAAGAAATTTTGCACTTTAGAAATCCATTACAGGGGATAAAATTTGTTTACTAGGCACACTGTGTGGAACGATTGAGATGGAAGTTTTTTCTGACCTTCTAGAAGGTCGTGGTCAAAGAAGAAAGTCCTTTGAATTCAGTCACATTTATGGAAGGAATGTGAGTAGAGGAAGGGGGAAGGAGAGGAAGGGTGTAACCTTTCCTGAGATGCCACCTCCTCACCCTTGCAGGGCTTAGCTTTGTCCTTGCTCCATTTCTCACCTCCTTTCAGAAGCAAATATTTTCTGTGCTTTTTATAGCTCTTTTTCTCTATCAGAATAATTTTAAGGCACCTCTTGGGCTGAAGTTGTTTTCATTAGAGAGAAGAATCAGGGGAAGTCATAAAATGAAAGGAGCCCCAAAACTGGAGTTGATAAGGACCATGCAGGAAACGCTGTGACGGCAGTAATGTCGTTGTGACTGCTCATAATGCAATCTTATCCCCAGAACAAGAGGCAGAGGAAGAGGACGAGGCAAGAGGCGATTTGGCCCAGGTCGACGGCCAGGGCGTCCACCAAAGTTTATCCGCTTGGAAATAACCAGTGAAAATGGGGAAAAGAGTGATGATGGGACACAGGTACTGGGGGATGGGAAGGAGCTCGTTCCAGGTGTTCATTCAGAGGACTTCCCAGGTGCTGTTTTAGGTTAAATATGCAGTTTGCATTTTGTGCATATTTACTTAGCTAACTTTTCCAGAAGGAAAAGTTTTTTTGTTTTTCCTGAGAACTATATATCCAACGGTTTAAAAATGAGCAGCAGCTCGCTTCAGTGGCACAGACATGCGGTGCCAGCCGTGCTGAACTGGGCTGGAAGCATTGCGTGGGCCGGGGGTTCGAGGTCGGCCTGGGCAGCACTGTGGGATCCCGCCTCGTTAGAATGTATGCATGTTTTTAAAAGCAGCATTTCTAAATCTGAGCTAATAGTCATTGCAACACTGACCCATAGGTAGGGAAATAATCCCTAGTTGTTATAAATTTCAGGACTTGCTGCATTTTCCAACAAAGGAGCAGTTTGATGAGCCTGAGCCGGCTCCCCTGAATGGGCTGGACCAAGCAGAGCCGACCACCGACCCAGTTCCTCAGCTCCCACAGGAGGCCCAGGCTTCTCTGCAGCATGAGCCAGAAACTCACACCCTGCACCTGCAGCCGCAGCACGAAGAGAGTGTGGTGCCCACCCAGAGCACTCTAACTGCTGATGACATGCGCAGGGCCAAACGCATCCGAGTAAGTGGGCAAGCGTGACCCTCCACCAGCCAGCGCAGCGCTGCCCTTCATCAGCTTGCGCGGTGCTTTGCGTTGCAGGTTGCTTCCGTCTGCCTGAAAATTTTAGCTCTGGCTCATCCATGTTCCGGTCTCCTTGTTCTGCAAGAAATATTGACGATTTCTTGATGTCTGTATGTCCCACAGCAGGCTGGCATGGCTGGTCTTAGATTTGATCAATTTAGTCATAACACCCAGAAGCCTGGATTTTGGCAGCCCCTTGACTATTGTCATTAAAATAGGATGGCTTTCTATATCCCTGAGCTCCCAGATTGAAAGTGGAGAAATAAATACACTTAATTATAATATTTACTTATTTATGCCATGGATTGAACCCAGCGCACACTTAGGAGGCACTTTGCCACTGAGCTACATCTTTAGCTGGAATTATTTATATTTTAGGCCAGGTTTATCTGGGCCTAATTATAGTTCTCAAGTTAATTGTGGGTAACTAAATTTGGTTGTATACAGTGTCTAAGGGGAGATTGGCAAGTGTCAGTACCCACCAGTAGGAAGGGACCTGTGACATGTGTCTTGGCTTTAAAGCATGTAGCTGAAGGGCTTCCATGACTTCCATTTCAAACGTTTGTGTGCTGTTTCACGGGCAGCCTCCAGTGTGAGGTGGGACCTGTGGGGATGTGCGCTCACAACGGTAGGGTTTTATACATTGCTCGTGCTGACAGAATGCCATGACGTAAAGCCCATGTCTGCGGCAGCTAGGTATAAAAAGACTTGCCTGTAGATGGAGGACAGTTTGGATAATTTCCGAGACTTTATACTTTCTAGGTGGATGATTACTTTAGCCTAATGTTTCTTTCAGTCTTTCTCTCTCTGGTTTTTTTTTTTCTTTTTCACTATGTAAAGATGATAGGTGAGACAGTCTTCACAGAGGGTGGATGCTAGGTACAGGGGCCCTGCCCAGGGGTCTTGCTTGCTGTGGGTGAGGAGTCTTGGGCTCACCTCCCACTTTTGATCTTCTGTTTGCCTACAGGCTAGGAAGGGACCTTGAAAAGTAGCCTACTCCACATGTTCATGTAAAAATACATTCAGACATTCATAGCCACATCATTTCTCTCAATGAATCGGAGAACTCTAGACAGCTATTATGAGGATTCTGTAATTCTAACTCAGGCAACTTTCAGCTCAATCTATATTATTTCAATAGGATATGTAAACATCCAAACTGTAGGACAGAACTTTTAAATCTGTGAATGAACATCTTTCCATCTATCATTCTACTCTATTTCCCAATCCGTACTTTTGTATAATTATCTTTCCCAGTTTGGCCATTCTGATATTTTACTAGGTCCAAGGAAGTGCTTGCTGGATTTAAATTTTTTTTGAAGGAAAAAACTGAAACTCACATGTAGTGAAGCTATAGTGGATATATAGGCATAGTCTAGTTGTACCTGTACGTGGACTCTTGAAGGAACTGGGCTACTGGTTTCTGTACAAGGTTATTTGTGTCAAAGCAAAAGCCACATGCACATGACTTTCAGCGGTCCGTCTTAGTTGAGCTGTCTTGTTTTTTTTCCTTTCACACATTCTAAAATGTAGGGCCATGTATTTTTTCATCTTTTTTTTTTATCCAGATGGGTAATGACCAACTGAAGGGAAGTCTTCCAATCCAATTGGTAATGTAACTATTTTTCTCTCCTCTAATGCTGCCTGCTCAGTTGGAGCTGCAGGTAGGTTTGTTTCCTGTGTTTCACATAACAGAATGTTAATTAAAGTGTTTGCCTGACCTGCTATTCTTTGCAACCTGTATTTACTAAATCCTGGTGGAAACCACAATTGGTTGCTACAGTAGATGCAAATTAATGGATAGTGGTAATTTACTTGTCAATAAATTAGTGAGTAAATTGTGGGTGCAAGATTCCTCTATACAAGATGAAGGGTATGACTCAGTTATCTCCAAGGTCCCTTCCATCTCTAAAAGAATTTGAATGACTCATGGAATGATACTGAGTTCTACTTGTATCTTAAGCACTGTCTAGTTACTCAAGAGTACTTTCCACTGGGCTCTATTTCTAGGAACTTACAGAGTCTGAGTTACAGAGTCAATACTAACCTAGGGTGATACTTAATTATGTGATAAATTGCTAGAGCATGGTAATGGTGAACCTTTTGGAAACTGAGTGGCCAAACTGCAACCCCAAAACTCGCTTATTTGTCCCAAAGTATCAATACTGCAATTAAATTGGAATACAGAGGTTTTAGTTTAGTAAAAACAGCTGTCACCCATGCTCGGCTGCTAGTGCCACTTGGCTTGTCTGCCAACAGCAAGGCCCAGTGCGACTGCTGCAGCACGAATGCCATAGGTTCACCGCCACTGCTCTAAGAAGGTGGAAGAAAGACCAAAGAAAGATCGAGGCAGGAAGTAATTCATGAACAAAGGGAGGTCTACACTATCTTGAAAGACAGTCTTTTGGAGGTGAACCATTTCAGGGAAGTGTGGACAGAGGATCAGAGGCCCAGACACAGGAATGTGCTTGATGTGGTGATGGAATAGGGCACACGCTAGCTTCCCCCAACTGTGAGTGGCAGGTAGAGGAGAGTGGACAAGGAAGTGTGTTGGCCAGGGCTAAGCTGCCGAAGGCTTTGAAAACTGGGCAGAAAACAGGACCAAGAAAAGTTGCTTTTTAAAAATTAACAACAACAACCCAAAACCAACAAACAAGCATGATTTTTAAATTTTCTTTTAGTCTCAGGATCAAAATAGCATGAAAATTGATCAATTACGTAGGTACCTTTAACTATTACTATCAAGTTTTAGAAACATTTCAGAAACAACAATCACTGCAGTGTGAGTCACAGAATCCAGCAATCATACCACTTTGTCATACTTAGAGCAGCTGATGCAGCATGTAGTATGGATAGCTGGCTGGCAGACTGGAGCTCAGGGGTCAGATATGTGACACCTCTATCATGCACCCCATTGTTATGACTCCCCTTAGAGAATGGACTGAATGTGACTCCACCGTAGAAGCTACCTTAGAACTGGCCTGCAAGTGGCCAAGGAATGGGAGTAGAGCCAGCACTATTACTAACTTGTAATATGAGTGTCATTAACGTGGAGAAACACAGGCTAGTTCTTGAGCACTTAGACAGCGCTCAGGGCTCCATGGAAATTAAAGAGATAAGAATTGTCTGTAGAACTGCGGAAGTGGAGCCAGGTGGCTGCTTGGTTTAAATCAAATGTCTGAAAGTACTCATGCTAATCAGAAGTGACAGAAGACTGATTTGCATAATGAGCCAAAGCAAAGCTGAAGCCTGGATTTGGCACCCAAGGAGAAGTGGAATTCTCATTGGGGTCATCATCAACTGTTGTGTGTTGTGTCCATCCTTGACAACATGACTGAAGTCAGACACAGGAAGTGACCCTGACATGGCAAGCGTGCTCTAAATCTTGAGTCATCTCTGAACCTCAGAACAGCATCTGTTTATCTGGCATCTTCCCATAAAGTTTGAAAAGAGGCAGAATATAAGCCTGCTTATGCAAAATAAGTACGTGTGCACTTAGACTGAAAAGACTGGGTGACTACTAGGGAGTAGAAGGAAGTGACATTAAGCTTTGTGGGTGATTTGAAAAAGATCTAGTCTTTAAAATGTTTTCGGCTGTCATGGAAAAAATGCCTAGACATCTTAAAAATATATTTTGTTAATTTTCAAACTTTTGTTGGATACTTTAAGCAATGTTAAGGGATCTAGATATAAAAGAGAATGAAATATGATGCCTGTGTCCCCATGCCTCCAAATAACCTCAGTCACCTTGGAAGATCATCAGAATCGCTCTTATTCTGATCAACATAAGCTAGCAGGTAGCACCATAAAATATATCTCCTAGCTCTGTTCCTTGGGAAGCGGTTTTCTATTATATCAAATGAATTATTTATAGTAAATCAAACATAAGTATTTTCTTTCCCCCAGAGTGATTATTTTACATTAAACTTAAGTTAGAAGTTGCGCCTATTAAGAGCTAAAGAGTGGTCCACTGGACTTTCTTCATTGTAAATATAATGCCTTAAGATCCCCAGTAATCTATCAGTTACAGTGATTTTCTAGTTAGCCAAGGATAGTCATTCCCAGGTACATTTTTTGGAGGTTTTCTCCCCCTCAGAGCTAACTAGAGCTTTCCTTTGGTGTTTGAACAACAACGAATGAATCTTCATTGTAGCATCACTAAATATTGATTTCTGTATTCTGTGTGTGAAAGATGATTCTGTGGATCTGCTCTCCGTGGAGCATGGGTTGCTTTTCTTGTGGTCGTGATTGATTTGCATTCAGTATCCATCTATTCTCACTTGGATTCCGTCTAACACTTGAACAGAGAACTAGTCAGCATTCCAAGTGCAATCTGTGGCTTTTTTAAAAAAAGCAAAACTGTGCTGTCTAGACCGTAATAGCAATAAGCTTAACCTTGTTAGTTAGCATGGCATTCTAACCAGCAGAACTAACTGGCTGCCTCGGGAACTTGTCCTCTGGATTTCTAAGTCGGAAGTGCTGCAGTGCCTATGTTTTGTTTGTGATATGTACTCGTGTCATGTCTCATGAACAAACACTTTTTACATAAGGAAACTTCATTTCCTAAAGGAGGTGATGTTCCTGGGGATTGGACCTAGGGCAAGCGCCCTGCCTCAGAGGCACACCCCTAAGCTTTTAAAAAATTGCTTTCATAATTCTCCTAAAGTTGTGCTGCTGTCATCACTATAAGGGTAATAATATGTATATATGTATATGTGCACACTTACAATTCCAGAATATTTTCATTATCCATCAGAGAAACCCCGTATTCATTTTCTTTTCCAATCCCATCCCTGGGAAGGACGAACTATACTTCACTTTTTTTGCTAAGTGTTTTAATTAAGCTTCAAATTCTTTTTTATTTTAATCAAGGACTTCAGAGGGTATTATCTGGCTGATGTGTGCCAACTTCAATCATGCACACGTGACTTAACCGTCTTTTCTTACAAATCTCCAAATTTAATATTACTTCGCTTTGGGATTCGTTCTTTTCATCCCAGATTTCTAAGGAGAACACTTTTTTGAATGTTAGTTAAATCCTTTTGAAAGAACACACACACATAAGTAAACATCGGACAAAACACACCCCTAGTTTGCCGTTTCAGGGTCATCTGTGGGGATGGCTGCCTTTCCCGCCCGCGCACTGGCCCGCTTCTCCGGCCGGCCGCACCTTGGCCTGCGGCTGTGACCGCTGCGCCCGCTCCTGCCCGGGGAAGCGCGCCTGCCTGCCTGCCTGCCTGCCGCTCGCTCGCTCGCGCGCCGCGTCCTCACTGCAGCCCTGTATTTGTGTCTGTCTTTCAGAATGCAGCTCTTCAGCATCTGTTTATTCGGAAGTCCTTCCGGCCTTTTAAATGTTTGCAGTGTGGGAAGGCCTTCCGGGAGAAGGACAAACTGGACCAGCACTTGCGCTTCCACGGGCGGGAGGGCAACTGCGCGCTGACCTGTGACCTGTGTAACAAGGGCTTCATCAGCAGCGCCTCCCTGGAGAGCCACATGAAGCTCCACTCGGACCAGAAGACTTACTCTTGCATTTTTTGCCCAGAGTCCTTTGACCGCCTTGATTTGTTGAAAGATCATGTGGCCATTCATATCATTGATGGCTATTTCACCTGCCCAACTTGTAAGAAAAGGTTCCCAGATTTTATTCAGGTGAGTGTCTGCTGCTGAGGCTCCTGTCTGTTTCCTCCTTTTGGTGAAAGAAACGTAGGTTTTTGTAAAGTTGAAACTGGCTAGCGACTACAATTTCAACTCTTCTTTGAACTGACTATAAAATTGAGAAACAGGGACCGGGGAGATGACTCAGTAGGATAAGCGCTTGACTGGCAAACGCAAGGATCTGAGTTCAATCCCCGGTTCCGAAGGAAAAAAAAAAAATTAATTGAGAAACAATTGTTTTTTTCTTAAATTACTTTTGAAGGACAGGAGTATTATGACCCTTGGTTGTCCAGTTCAGATAGTCATACATAAGCATTTAAATTATATTACAAATAATAGATACACAGATCTGGTTATTTATTTATTTATTTTTGGGTGCCAGAGATCGAACTCGGGATTTCGTGCTTGCTGAGTAGGCAGTTATGCTGCTAAATTGTATCCCTGATCCCATAATTTCAAAACGTCTATGAAAATCCTTGTCAAGAGCCATTAATCCTAAAATTTAGTCTGTAAAAGACAGACTCCTACTTCTGGGGCTGAAAACATCTCCCTGTCACAGTCGTTTTCTGTCTTACTTTACTAAGGTCATGGGTTTTGAAAGGAAATATAGTAAGTACACTTTGAATCAGACACTGCCTGCCTCCCGGATTGTATGCTGTCAGTTGGAGCAAAATGGGTGAAGTTAAATCCCAAAATATTCATGACTTCATTGGGCTTTAAGTGTTAATAATTTTGTGTGCTAGTAAGTACATAAATATCTTGTAAAAATACTTATTATTATTATTATTATTATTATTATTATTTTGGTCTTTTTTTGAGACAGGGTTTTGCTATGTACTTCAGGTTGGCCTTAAACTCACTTTGTAGCCCAGGCTACCCTTGAACTCAGTGATCTTTTTGCCTCCGCCTCCCAAGTGCTTGAATTACAGGCATGTGTGACTGCCTGGCTTTAACAAATTAATCAAAGGAAAAGGAGCTAGGATTTAGTAGTAGTTTTTCAAGTGTTGTTAGTCCTGTAAATTTTCTCACTTCACACAGACAATAAGAAAGTTTGTTAAGATAAAATGTAATATAAAAGAAACTCCAAAAATAGTGAAGCAAAATGTCTTAAAGAATAATTTATTTTATTATTTTTATTTTGTATTTAAGACAGGTCTACAGGGTCTCACTACACAGACTGGACTCAGTGATTCTCCTGTTTTCAGCCTCCCAAGTGCTGGGATTACAAGCATGTCCCACCACGCCCAGTCCCAGTGGCTGTCTCAGCACGTCCCGGGGGAGGGGCCAGCACAGCAGGAGGGCATCAAACCCCAGCTGCTACACTCTGCCTAACCAGGCTCTTTAGTCCGCTGAGTTATCAGGCCGGCCTTAAAGAATTATTTTATATGAATTACTGCTTAGCTTCTATCTACAGTTTATTTTGGATTTTTAGTGGCTAAAAGAGCTCAGGGCAATATTCTTCTTATTTTACAGGGGGAAGGTTGGCTAGGAATTGAACTCAGGATGAAGCTTTATATACATTTTTTTATTCAAGTTACCTAAACGTAAAGGAAGTAGTCCCTGTTCAGGAGAATGACATCATAGTATTGTCGAATCATCATAATTGGCTAATGTTTTCTGTATCGTTTGACTCATATCTTTGATTCTTCAAAACCTGGTTTTTGGTTTGGTTTGGTTTTTGTGGTTTTTGTGCTGGAGATCAAACCTAGGACCTCAGGGATGCTAGGCAAGTTCTCTGCTACTTGGGCTACACCTTTGGGCTGCCCCCAGCACAACGTTACTGGAAGATATGGACTGAATTGCTTCAATAGGTGTTGAAGTCAGAAAAAAGTGAGGAAGAATTTGTTGTTTTCCTATAGATGATATAGTAAGATTCATTTAAATTCATAGGAATCCTTTTTTAAAATCTTACAGAAGGGAAAGAAGATAAATAATCTGGGCTTTGATTAAGCAGATGTTCCTCTACACTTTTGTCACCTGGAGATTAAGATTTGCAGAGCTTTCTGGCAGCTTGTGTTGTTTCTTTGTGACAGGCACAGCTTGTTGCTGAGGCGGATTATCACAGCCCGCTGGAGGGCTTGCCCGGGTGCTGGGAAGTCCGCGGCGGTGCGCTGGCTCCCTCTAGCGTTGGCAGCTGCCCTTTCTTCAGTTGTTTCCTTTTGTGTCCCAGTGCCTCAGTTTTCCCCTGGTCTTTACTGCCAGGTAAAAAAGCACGTGCGCAGCTTCCACTCAGAGAAGATTTACCAGTGCACAGAGTGCGACAAGGCCTTCTGCCGCCCCGACAAGCTGCGGCTGCACATGCTCCGGCATTCGGACCGAAAAGACTTCCTGTGCTCCACCTGCGGGAAGCAGTTCAAGGTACGAGGCCGTGCGCAGCGCGACGCGTGGTTCTCAGAGCCACCGCTTTCCGCCCAGCTGAGGACACAGGGCTGCTCAGTTCATCATTTTGTCACCTCTTGGGAAGAGCTGGGACAGGATATACTTCAGCTCTCCTGTTTGACTTAGTTTTAAAATTAAGGGGAACAACTTAATTTCTCAAAATAATTCAGATCTCCATATAGACCAGTAATGCACGTCCTGAAAGAATCTAGGTGTGTATTGACTGGTGGAGCTAACTGCACTGAGGAATTCCTGAGAGACCATTCGAGCCAAGCAGTTTTTCTGAAGACTTATTAAGGGGCCTGTACTGGAGTCCCTCTGGCAACACGGCTCTCATCTGACAGAGGTGGGACGTCTGAGGAGCGTAGATCACTTTGCAGATTGCTAATGATGTTGGGATTAAAATTAAAAATAATATGTGTCAGTGTGCTGCCTGGGATTTAGAAGAAGCCAAGGAAAAGCCTGATAGGTGTGAGTTCAAGGCCAGCCTTGACCTTGGCTGAAAAAAAAGAAGTGGGAATAATCATGTATGCATCACTGGGGAGTCATGATTCCATAAAAATGTCATTGAGGGACATGACTGAGCAAGAGTGTAGGTCACGCTGTCGTAGAAATGCAGAAGAATCTGAAGTAGATTCTGCTGAGAGGAAAGCTTGTGTAGAGCATGGAGACACTGAAGAGAAAGACAAAGGAATTTTCAGAGCTTAAGTTTTGTGGTTTGTGTGTTGCAGGACGTGACTGCAGTGGCTTTCGGTACCTAGCAGCATGATTTGTGACTGCACAGAAGACTCTAGGATGGATAAACGTTAGCGGGGTTTTTCCCCTGTTCTTTATTTTGAGTGGCGTTGAATCCGGGGCTCTGTGCATGCCAGGCATGGGCTGTTGCCCTATATGTGACCTATACCTGAAGCCCTATAAACAGATTTATATTAAAACATCCCTCTTATGACACTGACCATTCGACCATCCATCCAGCCTGACCATTCAAAGTTTTTTGATTATTTTATGCCAGATACCATTTTGTCACCTAGGAATTTTTTTAAGTCAAAATAACAAACTTTCTGTTTCTATTTTCCTCTTTATTTTTACCCATTATATTAGACACAAGTCAATCAGAGAAGCAAAACATCTATGAATATGATAGAATGAGGAATTTTCTTATAGGGCTAAGAGCATAAGCATAGAAGGGCATGGAGAAGTGAGTATCCAAAGGAGAACTTGGAGGATCAAAGACGTCACCAGAGGACTCTCTGAAGCCCTGGTCAGGAGGACAACCAAAGCTTAATTAGGACCCTGGGACCCAGGCACCTTCTGTCCATGGACATCCATCGGGCTGCAGTGAGCAGTGGGCCTGGAGTTGGCCAGTGGAGCTGGCAGTGAGGAAGGAGACCTGTGGCTGGGTGGGAGGGAGGGGGATGAGAGGGGACCCTGGCACTCCACACCAGATGCTGCCTCCAGTGACACTGAAAGCTGCTCGGCATGGTGCCTGCTTTGTTCCCGCCTTCCAGTAAGGTGTGTGTTTCTCTTGCAGGACCATATGAGAAGGGACATCTGTTTAAACAGTTTGAGTTAGCCAAGTTGACATACCATTGGTACATGTTTTTAAGACAGTACCGAGAGCTATTTTTCTAGAGAACAAGTCTGACATCATGGCCCTTCTAAAAAACCTTTGTATAACTCTCCACTCATATGGGTCCCAGTGATTATCACATAGGAGGTATTGTAGGGCAGTGGTTGTGACTTTCAGTGATACAGACAGCGTGCTGCAGCAGGGTGCCATAGGTTCGCCACCACTGCCGTAGGCCCTGGCTCCTGTCACCTCGACAGTTCTCACTACCGTTGGTACTCGGGCTGTACAGAATCACTTGGGTCTACTTCACCAGGGTGTACTGTGTCTCCCCAGGCCTGGTGTGGTCTGAGCCTTTACTCAAGAGGAATTTCCAGGGTGACACATGAGCTCACTCTGCTTTTACATCTGAGTTTCTGTTTTCAAACAAATGTTTTCTGTTCGCCTGCATGGGTGTCAATCTCAGTTCCAGTTTATTTCACTCCTTTCCATCCCTGGCTTGAAATGAACTTCCAGACTCTTGAGTCATTTCACCTGTCGAATGTCATTTTACCTGGGGTGTATCTTGGTCCTGGGTTAAGTGCTTTTCCTGTGAATTCCCATAGGACTGTCCGCTGGTGACCCCATCGTATGGTAGTGTTTAGAATTGCAATTGTCTGTCCTGCTAAGATCTATAATATATATAAAAGACAAGACAGGACCTTCTAGCTTCAGGGAATGCACATTTTAATGGGTAACTCAGACATCAACTATATTATTGATATGGTGGAGGAAAGGATGATTTACTAAGAGAGCAATGAACTCGGATTTGGGGTATGAAGAGGTCACTTCATAGATGACACCTTCTTTTTTCACTGCTGGGGATTGAACCCAGGGCCTTGTGTGTGCTACGCAAGCACTCTACTGCCGAATTATCCCCCACCCAAGGTGACGCTCGGATTCACTAAAGGATAGGGCACAGTTTGCCAGCTAGAGAGAGGGATGAAGATTCCCCAAGCAGAGCAGTACCCCAGTGATGCCTGCTTCCGGAGGTGCATAGTGAGAGGCACAGAGGAGGGGGCATGGGAAGGGCCAATGGTCAGATGAAGCCAGAGAGGTGCTTAAGCCAGCTTGCTGTGCTGAGTGATTGATTCATGGTGAAGGGAGCTGTTGGCCTTTTAGAGCTGGGTCTAAACTTAGGAAGAGCCATGGACAGGAGAAAGGGATTCATAGTGAAGACAGATGAGGGAGAATTCCTAGGGCCTCGCATCTGAAAGATTGAAGGGTGGAGATTTTTAGTTTGGGAGACAAGGTATTTGGGAACATAATCTATACCAGACAGGAGAGAGAATGGTTACACGGTGAATCTGGCTTTGGGGTGCTGGGGTAGAAAGGCCTGTGGAGATTTGGCATCCCAACAAATACTCACCACTGTCTGCGTGACTCAGTATTAGTCCTAGACTCTGAGATTTAGGAAATAATTCAATTAAGGTGAGTTGGTCTGTCTGAAGGGGAAATAAATCAATTATGATGATCAGAAAAAAATAGAAGAGTGACAGTTTTTTATCATTGTCTCCACTGGAGACAATACCTACTTTTATTTAGGTTATTAAACAAGTTTTTTATTGCAAACTAAGAAACTGAATATTCTTTCCTGGACATTCCAGGAACCAGGGCCAGTGGAATAGGAAGAAAGAGTAGCTGTATTTATTCTAGAAGAAGCCAGTGGGTGAGAGATCCCTCCCACTGGAACTCTGCCCCTACTGTGGCGTGGTTCCGAGTACTGGTAGGCTCTCCAGGAATATTTGTTAAATAAGTGAACTAAAAGCTGAAATACCTAAACAAAGCCTCTGTATTAGAAGATAGGAAGAATTAGTCTTGTAGAAAGATTACAAATCTTTATAAAGTTAATAACAGTTACATAATATTTCTGAGAGCAGTGGGCTCTCCTGGGTAGTAGTAGTCCCAAAGACTACTACAAAACTAAAATAAAATGTTATTATTTATTTCCATTTTCGTGGTGGTCTTGTGGTAGAACTCAGGGCCTTGTGCATGCCAGGCAAGCCCTGGACCACTGAGCTGTACCCCTTTTGAATTTGTTTTATTCAGGATGGGTTCTGCCGAATGTCCTAAGGATTCCCTGTTATCGAAGCAGGAACAGAGCTGGCCACACGGCGCACGCTTGCATGCTCCCTCTATAGTGGCCAACGCAATTGCTTAAGTGTCTAAATCCATGACATGGGAGACTTGAGATTCTTACTTGAGTTCACTTGGGATTTTGAAGACATCATTATGTTTAGTTTATTGTAAGGTGTGGGAATTGAGTACTTGTGGCTTGTAAATCCAGTACTACCTGTCACTCATTATCGCTTTGTCTTATACCAAATTTGTTCTGTGTGCCCTTGGACCATGTCCATGTAAATGCGAAGTCTTTCTTCTAAACAGACATGGATACCATTCATAGTTAAAGCCAGGCTCGCCAAGGCGCCTGTGTGCCACTAACTAGCGATTTCCAGCTCCTCTGGACGTGCCCTGAACGTCTCAGCACGCCAGTAACTCAGATGCCTCTCACTGGGCTGTGACTGCTAATTTGTACTGATTTTGAAAAATTACCCAACCTGTTAAAATATTCTATGTCCACTCCTATCCCCTTTTCAAAAATTCCCTCCAAATAGCGAAAAGACAAACTTCGGGAACACATGCAGAGGATGCATAATCCTGAGAGGGAGGCCAAGAAAGCCGACCGCATCAGCCGCTCCAAGACCTTCAAACCTCGGATCACATCCACAGACTACGACAGCTTCACGTTCAAGTGCCGCCTGTGCATGATGGGCTTCCGGCGCCGGGGCATGCTGGTCAGTGCCTCCCCGGCCTTCTGGCCTCCAGGCTCCCCTCATTGCTGTCAGGGAGGGCGGCAGCTTGGTGTTGTGCTGGGTCCTGAGTTACGCGCATCAGCAGGTCGTCTCAGTATCTGGAGGAAGAAGGAGACAGTTCCCAATTTGGAGTCTGTCTTTTCCAATCTGCCCTTGCCAGTACTTCTCAGGAGACCTCTAGAAAGAATTTCCTACCGCTGTTTTCTTTGTTTTTGGTGCTAGAGATTGAATCCAAAGCCTTGCATGTGCCAAGCCTGTCCTCCTGAGCTGCAACTGTAACCCTCTTCCTCTTCTTTTCCGTATTACTTTTGGTTTTCTTCACTGTTCTAGGTCTTCCTGCTCCCGTCCTGTTTTACTTCCCTCCTCTCTTTTGCATTCCTCAATGTACTTTCTAGTGGGGCTTTTGTCCTTTCTGATAATGGTTCTTTTTTTCAGTTAGGAAACAGCAATAGAAGGAAACCTTTCCTCAGAACTGGGTCTGTGGGTCCAGGTCAGTGGGGACATGAGGACATCCAGTTCACTGCTCTCAATTTATTTTGACCTTGTTATAGTTGCAGAGTATACTTCTTCCAAGAGCTTGAAAGTCATAGGACAGTGTCTAAAATTCAGAACCTTCTTTTGTATCTCATTGCATATTCTCAGTCAGGCTCCAGCACGAAATAATGAAGGACAGGTTAAGTTGGGAGAATTGGCCCAAGATATCCCATTCGTATAATTTTCCTATCACCAACAGTAGTTCTTCCAGGCAGGGACTACTGATCTGATCTACCAAGACCCAAGGTACCTTTGCTTATTTGCTGAATTCCTTTTAACTGCTGTCTCCAGGCAAATGCCTCATTTTTGGGGTTTTTGCTTCGAAGAGTATCAGCCTCTGGCATTCATTGTCAGAGGCATTTGTTTATAATGAGGTCTCTTTTTCTCATTTTTTTTTCCTACCTCAGGTAAATCACTTATCAAAGAGGCATCCTGACATGAAGATAGAAGAGGTGCCAGAGTTAACGCTACCCATCATAAAGCCCAACCGAGATTACTTTTGCCAGTACTGCGATAAGGTAACAGCAGCACATCCATGCGGGCAGGCCACTGTGGGAGCCCGGTGTTGAGCCAGTTTGCTTGCTTGGGTAATGAGCCCCAGATCCTGCAGTTGCTCTGCGCAGATGGCTCCCTGCCTCTCGGTAGTTTTCCATGCAGGCAAGAAAGGGGCAGAAATGCAGCTCATTTTAAGTAATGCTTTTACTTTTTAATTTGTTGGCTTTGTTTTGCTTTTAACCCAGTCTCTGTGTGACTTTTTTAAAGAGAGACTTCCAAAGCCTAGTGTATGAATTTAATTTAAATTCCTAAGACATAATGTGAGTGTTGTCATTTTACTTGTAAAATGTGAGGTAGATTTGGAGTTTCTAGAAGATTGAACAGGATGTTAAAAAGTTTAAGGTGGGAGGAGTACTCTGCTTGTATTATTCCATTCTTATGTGTGCAGTTACAGGAAAGACAGAAAACTCTGTATTGTTTCCGTGTAGGAAATGCCTCCTTCCATGGTATATCCATGTCGGCTTGGCATTAAGAAGCTTATCTTTGACAGAGTCCTCACTAAAGCCGCTAGTGGCTATTCAGCTTACACTTTGGAAGATTTTGGGTTCCTTGTGCTGAGTTGTGTATATCATAAAAGAGCTTTTACAGACAGATGAAGGATGAACTGGCCTGAAAAACAATTCTGTTTCCATGCATGTTTTTCCCTTTTAAACTTTCAGGGAAAGGGTGTGTTTATAGTTACTCAGATATAGACATGAAATTGGAGGGAGATACTTAGCATTATCTATATTATGTTCTGACGTTATTGTGGTTTTTTTTTTTTGTCTTTTTGAGGCAGGGTCTCACTGTGCAGTTCAGCCTGGCCTTGATCTCACTTTGCGTCCCAGGCTGGTCTTTTTTTTTTTTTTTTTTAATTGGAACCAGAGATTGAACTCAGGCCCTTGTGCTTGCCAGGGAAGCGCTTATTCCACTGAGCCATCTCTGCGGCCCTTCTGTATCTCCACCCCCCACCCCCAGGCTGGTCTTGAACTGGCAACAATCCTCCCAACTCAACCTTCTGACTTTATCCTATTTATAAATAGTCCATATTATCCCTTCATAGATTGGTTAATATCTTTTATCTTCGGCTATAGCAATATTTTCATTTCCTTAGAATGAAATTGCTCGTTGCCCCGAGTGACAACGTAGAGCTGTACGTGGACAGTTTTCATGGCACCATATTTGAACTTGCAGGTTTATAAAAGTGCCAGCAAGCGTAAAGCTCACATTCTGAAGAACCACCCAGGAGCTGAGCTCCCACCAAGCATTCGGAAACTCCGCCCTGCAGGCCCAGGGGAGCCAGACCCCATGCTCAGCACCCACACCCAGCTGACGGGCACCATTGCCACCCCCCCTGTGTGCTGCCCGCACTGCTCCAAGCAGTACAGCAGCAAGGTAAGCACCCACTCCCGCCCGGAGCCTGCAGCGGAACAGCCGTGCGGAGGTGTCTTGACGGCGACAGCGTCTCATCCGAGTGGCTGGTGGCTTCCCTGAATTGATGGGGGCTAAAAAGAGACCCTATCCCAGCTCTTCCAAGTAGGGCCTGCAGCAAAGAACATGAGGAGAATACTGTGGATTCCTCAGAATGAGTGCCATCTAGTAGCCCGAGCGTGTGGCTCTTCTCCTCTCCCTTTGGCCTCCTGAGGGTAGAAACTAAAATAGTCGTTCCTCAAAAGGGCTGGTTTTTGCTGGGGGGAGTCACAGCTGCTTAATACAGGTATTGCTGGGGTGGGGTGGGATGCTGTAAGGGTTTTGGGCCTCCTGATGTTGTAGGGTCAGGTGAGACTTTCCTCTACCCATCCATTATACCTTTGCATTGCTTTTGGAAATGCAGGGATGTAGTCAGGATTGCTCTGATTTTTAATTTAATTTTTTAATACTGGATTTTTAAAATGTATTTAGTATGGGGTCCGCAAGGTCTCACTACATAGATTGGGCTCATAGTGATTCTCCTGTCCTCAGCCTCCCAAGCGCTAGGATTACAGATACACCACCACGTCCAGTCTCAATTGACCTCCCCCCGGGGGTGGGGCCAGCAAGACAGGCCAGGGATCTGAACCCTGGGTGCTGCGCACTACCTAAGCAGGCACTTTGGTCTGCTGAGCTTCTGGCCAGCCCTGATTTTTAATTTAATTTTAGTTAATTAAGATACGGAGTTTTGCTGTGTTGCCCAGATTGGCCCTGAACTCCTAGGCTCAAATAGTTCTCCCACCTCACTCTCCCAAGTAACTGAGAGTACGTGTGTGTGATAGCCTGTCCAGTAGATCTCCCTGTGTACTTATTTAGTAGTGTTGGAGACCTAACTCAGGCCTTGGCGCATGTCAGGCAAACACCACTGAGCTACACCCCCAGCCCCGATTTTCTTTTTTTTAAGATACAAAATAAATTATCTAATCTTTGGAAGATTGAAAATAATTTCAGTCAGTATTCCTAGTCTCATCTTCACTTTTCAGACCAAGATGGTGCAGCACATTCGAAAGAAGCACCCCGAGTACGCCCAGCTCCCCAACACCATCCACACGCCGCTGACGACCGCTGTGATCAGTACTACCCCAGCTGTGCTAACGACAGACAGCGCCACTGGAGAGACAGTGGTGGTGAGTGCACGAGGGGGAGAGCGCTCCGTTCCCAATCCTGTCCCCGTGTTGCCACCCCCAGTGCCCCCCAGATGGGTAGATGCCGAAGCCCTGCCGGCCTTGGGGTTCACCTGGCTGCGGATGGAGCCCCCTTCGCTTCAGGGTGCCGCAGATGCACTATGGTTGTGACGGGTCTGTGTTTTCCGGGTTCTCTGACAAGGCATAGCACGAGGCTTTCAGTGTTGCCTCTGAACTGCAGTACTGTCAGAGGCTCTAGGGCAGCTCCACAGTCGGGGCTAGCCGGCCAGTGGTAATTTGCAGTTGTGTGGTCCGTTGGCATGATAAAGTAAGTTGTAGTAGCCACCCAGCTACGGACAGGAGTGTTACCAGCTCATAATGCATCCTGCGTGCCTTTTCTAGACGACAGACCTGCTGACGCAAGCAATGACAGAGCTCTCTCAGACCTTAACAACAGATTACCGAACACCGCAAGGGGACTACCAGAGGATCCAGTACATTCCCGTGTCTCAGTCCACGTCTGGGCTCCAGCAGCCTCAGCATATACAACTTCAAGTGGTGCAGGTGGCCCCGGTATGGTGTGATGTTTCTTTCTCTTTACATCTGTGACTGCCATTAGCCCAGATGGTAGCGAGCTTGCAGTAAAGTACCCAGTTCCATGTGGCGCCTTATGTGGGGCTCCATAGGACGTGTTTCCGCGTAGAAGCTCTGAGGGCCTGGCACCTGTGGAGTGCCACCTCTGCCTCCCTCCCTGGGCTGACGTGGTCTCTAGACTTGGCAGGGTAAGGGCATTTCTGTCTAGGCGAACCGTCACCCAGCGCTATTGCATGAGTACTAACGACACTTCCTTCTGAGCTGCTTCTGAGTCCTTGCCCTTTGCTAGCTTGTTTCCTTGGTGATGAGCCAATTTGGTAAGTCCCTAGCTGGGCATCAAATGACTTATCTAAGTAAGAAGTTAGAGAGAATGATTTTATTTCCTGAACAGTAGTAACTTTTTAGTACAGAGGTTCAGTAACTTAGGTTCTTTTGCCAGGTTAATAGCTCATTCTTACTGATTAGAGACCTAAAAAAAGGAATGCTGTCAGGACTGTTTTTTATTTAATTATGCTGTGAAAAAGTATACTCAAGGACCAGATATAGCTCAGTGACACAGCGCCTGCCTGGTAAGCATGAGGGTGAGAGTTTGATTCCTGGTACCAAAAATAATAATACAATAAAGTAAAATAAAAACTGTACTTAAGACACAAAGGAACAAACCTGTTGCTTTAAAACAATTTTGCCTAAAAAAGTTAAAACAATTTTAAACTTATATGAATTGGGAATTGTCACTGTTTTGACAGTTGTTCACTCTGTCTTCTTTTCTTATGGAAGGGTTCTTAGCTTTAGGCTTTGGGGGAGTAAAGAGGCTTAGAAATATTGTGAATCTGCACATTGCTCTGGAGAAAGGGACATAGTTGGCCCGATTTCCAGAAGTGTCTTTGATATGGACTAGATTAAGGACCATTGTCCTAGTGGGTCACTAGTGACAAACTAAAAGCAGATTCTGTTTTGCTCTCTTAACTGATCAGATGGGATGCCTCAATCTATTTGAAGTTTGGGGAAATGATTGTTGATTCCCGAGGGCTTCTGGGGCAGCATGCATGTGCGAGGAACCGTTTCCTTCTCTCATCCTCCACAATGCTTCAAGCCTCTGCTTGAGAAGCACACTTCAGGCTTGCTTTCTCTCTACTCTTGGCCAGTGTGGCCTTGGTGCAGGCCCTCTCGGGGAAGTGCAGCTCTGGGTCTGAAGTTCCCTTTATGCTTCTTGCTGTCCGGATATTGAATCCTTAAAATATTCAACATGACCCTGCCTCTCTAGAGGAGGAGTAGGCACACTTTCTATAATAGGCCGTGAGTCGCCAGCTTGGACTTTGCCTTTTGGCGTCTGTGGCGGCAACCTGACCCTTCCCTGAGAGGTGAGGGCGAGGCCTGGGGGCGGGGGGCCAGCAGGGCTCCATTCTTGCCTGGGCAGTGTGGAAACAGGAGCGCAGCGCAGGAGCACCTGGGACTCCTGGGCTGTGTGCACTTGCTTTGTGCCAGCAGACAGCTTCGGCAGAGGGTGGGGTGGGGGATTTAAGGTGAGGCCCTTCGCACTGAGCTATATCTGCAACCCTTTCCAGTGTTTTATTTTTGAGACAGGCTCTTACTGAGTTGCTAAATTACCCAGGTTGGTTTTGAACTTTCAGTTCTCCTGTGTGAGCCTCCCACAGTGCTGGATTACAACCTGGTGCTGTCACCACAGCCACTTTAGGGATACTGCTTTTTGTCTGACCCTTCTGTCTGGAAGAATTTCCCCTAACCTCAGTTTGTACGTATCTGGTTTCTGGGCCTGTGTTTCTCCCTTCAGGCCACGTCCCCTCATCAGTCTCAGCAGTCCACTGTGGATGTGGGCCAGCTCCACGACCCACAGACCTACACACAGCATGCCATCCAGGTGCAGCACATCCAGGTGACCGAGTCTACCACCTCGGCCCCGGCGTCATCTCAGGTACGCTGCAGAGAGGTGCATGCGGCAGCAACAAAGCTGTCCCTGACCACTGAGGTGGTGTCACTCATTTGCATTGTCTGAATTGTCATTACTGTCCCATCCTGTGGAACTTTGTGATCCGACATCCTACAAATGGCATTAGCCTTGCTTCCTATTGCAATTGCTACACTGGAACGCTGACTTTGTGGAGTGTTACCGTGTACTGTTGTGGCTATAGGATTGAGTCTGTTTCTGAAATACACAGGGGAGTGTGGGAATTCAGAAGAGGGAGAAAATATGTATAGTTCCGCAATCAAGAAACATCTTTGAAGATGTGATCTTTGAATTAGGTCTTAAAGCAAGAGCAGGGTGTTGACATGGTGTTTGTGCGAGGCACTATGACCTAAATAAGCTCTCGGTGTGATGAAAGAGAGAGATGGGAAACGAATATTTGTAGGAAATTGAGTTGATTCTGTTGGGAACAGGAAGTGATGCTTGGAAAGAAAGAAGTGGTTTGGAGTGGGGTTGTGGAGAGCGCCGACTGGCGGCAGCGGAGCATGGGCTTGTGCTGCCAGGAGGAGGAAGCCTCTCTGCAGGACGTCTGCCCGTGTGTCCCGCTTCCCTCAGGCCTCGGTGGGAGTGTTCAGTGCAGTTCAGTGGGAACTGTGACACAGGGATGATTTCCATTTGTTTTACAGCTTAGCCCTGTAGGGACCGGGGAGATGGCTCAGTAGAATAAGCGCTTGCCGGGCAAGTGCAAGGGCCTGAGTTCAATCCCCAGTTCCACCAAAAAAAAAAAAAAAAAGAAAAAAAAACAGATTAGTTGTGTAACATTGGCAAGTTAGTTCACCTCTCATTTTAAAAAATCTTATGTAATGTAAACAATTACACTTTCACACATTGTTTCAACAAAGTTCATGAAAGTAAATTTTTTGTAACAAAGAATTTCAGAATTGTTTCATTAATTTGATTCTTATTTAAATATTACTACTGTAGGATCAATAGTTTCAGTCTTTAATTCCTATCAGTCTGCTTTATTCCTTGTTATTTGTGAGGCCTAAGTCTATTGGAACGCCTCCATTTCCTGCACTGTGTCCTCCTTCCCCCTAGGTAGCCGGGCAGCCCTTGAGTCCCTCTGCCCAGCAGGTGCAGCCCGGGCTCAGCCCCTCGCATATTCCCGGCAGTTCTTCGTCACAAGGGCAGGCCTTGCAGCAGCAGCAGCCGCAGCAGCAGCAGCAAACGCAGCAACAGCAACCACAGCAGCAGCCGCAGCAGCAGCAGCAGAGCTCCTCGGTCCAACACACGTACCTGCCCAATGCCTGGAACTCCTTCCGGGGCTACTGTGAGTAAGAAAAGGGGACAGCACTGTGCAGGTCATGCACGTGGAATCCCAGCCTTGGGTCTTAACTTAGCTTTATGGTAGGGTTTTTTTGGATTAAAATAGCAACTAGCCATTTTCTTTTTTGTTGTTGTGTTTTATTTGTTTTTGTCTCTGATATAAGGTCTCACTAACTAGTTCAGACTGGCCTTGAACTCACTATGAAGCCCAGGCTGGCCTGAACTCAAAGTGATCCTCCTGCCTCAGTATCCTGAGTGCTGGGATTACAGGTATGTGCCACCATGCCTGAAAAGTGGCCATTTTCTACACACTATATAATTGCATGTATTTGAATGAGGTTTTTTGTTTTGTTTTTTTGTACAGGGTCTTGCTATGCAGTTCAGACTTCCAGTGATCCTCCCTTCAGCCTCCCTAGTACTGGGATTACAGGCATGTGCCACCATGCCTGGTTTGGGGGCCAGCACAGTGCACCCAGGGTTCCAGAGTGGGTGTGGCATGTCAGCATGTGGTGCCAGTGGTCAAGGCAGCTATGTTTACCACTATACCACCAACGCAGGCAGCATGTGGTGCCAGGGATCGGACTTGGGTCCTTGCACTTGCCACCAAGCAATCTAATCAGCCCATGAGTGAGTTTTATGACAAAACTCAAGCCCTTGATTTGATGTCAGAAAGCCAGTATTTTCAGAGACACTAGGTATTTCTCTAGAGGAAGTGCAGGTAGGTGACTTAAATAGATGAACAGAAGATATGTTGATGCCCTTGGCTCATTTCTTCCACCAGTGTTTATTGAATGCTTCTGTATTCAGCACTATGCTTGACCCAAAGTATATGAAAATAAGTATTGACATAAATATCCATAATACTACAAAAGAGTAATGTTAGCCAACTTCCTTCATGCTCTTACTCTACGCCAGAATGATACTGAACCACGTGTCATATTTTGCATCACCATGGTAGCAGTATTATGAGTTAGCATTCCGTCTCAATGACTTTTTTCTCATTGCTGGGACAAAATACCCGACACCCAAAATTAAGGAAGGAAATTAGCTCATAGTTTGTGCAGGTTTCAGTCCATAATCAGCTGACTCCAAAGCTGGGCGGCACTAGGCAGAGCAAAGGGAGGGGCAGCAGCTGGCGCTGGCAAGCCTCTCTCCCCTCCTTACTTTGTGTGCAGATTGTCTGCCCAGGGCAGGTAGAACACTCACACCCACAATCCCAGCATTGGATCGTGAAGTGATCACAAACTTCAGAAGCTGCCCCGTGACTGCATGAGGCTTTGGGGGACGCTTACACACAATCTGTAACACATTCTAAAATGAAGATTCTGGAACTCAGGTTTTTCCCTTAGGAAAAATTGGCAAAAGGTAGAAAGAATGAAAAGTAGAAAGAAGGAAGAAGAGTATAATAAATACTCTATTCTTATCATCCAGTTTCAACAGTTAGCTCGCATCCAACCTTGTGTCAACTCTGCCCTGCCATCCTCTCCCATTTTCTAACCATATCATAATCCACTGTATCAGGGCTCTTGGGATAGCTCAGCAGAGTAAGCACCTGCTTAGGCAAGTGCAGGGACCAGGGTTTGATCCCAGGCACCACATGCTGAGCTGGCCACACCCTTGGGTGCACTGAACGAGCCACTGAGACCCAGCCTGGTGGCGCGTGCCTGTAATCCAAGTGCAGAGGAGGCTGAAGGCAGGAGAATCCCTGTGAGTCCGAGCTACGTAGTGAGACCCTGTACCAAATACATTTTTTAAAAAAATGTATCATTTTCACCCATAAATGTTTTTGTATGTGTATTTAAGACTACTTGGGGGAGTGCTAGTGGGCAAGCCTAGGGCCTTGTGCATGCTGAGCGTGTGCTGTGCTATTGAGTTACATCTCCAGCCTAAAGACTGTTTTTTAAAAAATGTCATTATCACACCTAAGAATAAATGGCAATTCTTTACCCACAAATGTACTTCAAAATTTAGTAATATTCATACTTCTGAGCTTGTCTTAAAGTCTTGAAAATAGTTGGTTTGTGTAAATTTGGCTCCAAGTAAGGATCATATTGCAATGGACGGCGTCTTCTGAGTTCTGTTCAGTCTGTGTTCACTTTCTCTTACTTTGCATCGCCATCTCGCCATTTCTGAGTTGAAGAAAGTGAGTCCTGACCTACAGTCTCCACTTCGATGGCGCGGAGGCACCCTCGTGTTGCCATAACACACGTTTGTGTCCCGCAGACTGGCAACGAGGCCTGCAGGCTGGATAAGGATTGCGTTTAGTTTTTCCCACAAGCTCCTTCAGAGCTGACGTGTGTGCTTCTATCAGAAACCATAATATTCGGGTGTCTGTCTTTTTTATGTTTATGCTTACGCTCAGTTATTTTATTAGGGCTTACCAAGTTGCAAAATTCTGATTCTGTCATTCTTATTCATTAACTAGAAAAATTTTATTAAAGAAAAATTTCACTTAGCAGTGAGATTGAGATATACTTTTTTTACTTCTTTTTTTTGTGGAACCGGGGATTGAACTCACGCCCTTGCACTTGCCAGGGAAGAGCTCATTCCACTGCGCCATCTCCCCGGCCCTGAGATATACTTTGTATCTCAATTTTTTTTAAGAACTTTTTTTTTAGAGGGCTACGGGACCTTGCACTAGGCAGGTGCTGTGTTGTCGAGTTATGTCCCGGTTTCAGAAACATTTGTATCTTTTTAATTAGATTAGCTTTACAAGCAACTTGAGAGAGCTCTTGCATAAGGAAACACTGCTTTTCAAATTACATTGACTTTTCAAATTACATGACTTGATAATCTATCTGGAAATTCTTTGTCTGCTTTTGCTAAAGGTGTGTGTTTTACAGCTGGTTAATGTAGTGAAAGAAAACAGTATTATGAAGCTTCATCTTTAACCAAGATGAATGCGTATAGGCCACTAGTAGTTAGAAAGTTTGGTTTAAATAATCTTGCTTGGTGGCAAGTTAACGGTGCCACTAATATGAAATTAGTAGATTTTAAGTGGGTAGTAAAGAAGTGGCTGTCCTCTTCTCTGGCTCTTTTCACAGTGACCTCCAAGAAGGTATATAATTTCTCCAAAAAATATACAATGTAAAACTATCAGCAGGCCCGATGTTCCAAGCTCATCTTATTCAGCTTCTGCCCCGCCATATAAGTTTTGCTGTGGCTTCTTGGAATTAGCTGTTTCCCCAAGAGTCTCTCAATCCTCTTCATCCGAAGGGCCATTTAGAGACTATGAGAAGGATATTAGGGTGAACTGTGTTTCAAATTTGGTTTAATAAACTTGTGATGAAATAGCATTAAAGCTGAGTCCAGTTGTGATTGCTAAGAACCTGTAGTTACTGCTGGGCCATGAAGTCCTATCTGAGTATGAAAGATAAAAATATGGAGCCAGGAAGGTAAAACTTTATGACTTCTTTCAAAGTTTTTTAAAGAAGTGTTAAATATTTATGTGTGTGGATATTCAAAAGTGCATCTGGGTGGGCGGCACTGCTGCCGGTACTCTACTCGGCAGCCTCTCTTCTCTACCGATGGTCTTCTTGTTTCCCTTTCAACCCGTCAAGAAATCATGTCATCATAAGTAAGCACGCTTCAGGCCACTGGCTAGGCACAGTCCTCAGCCTGCATTGCTTTGACTTAGTCAGTACAGCAGCACACCCACACAACCATTTTGGGTGGTTGTTGTTTTGAGACTAGGCCTACGGAGGCTGCCCCAGCCTGGTCTTGACCTCCTGGGCTCAAGGGGATCCCCTGCCTCTTGAGTGGCTGGGACAACAGAAGTTCTCCACCATACTCAGCTGTTGCCTGGTTTTTGTTTTCAATAACACTGTTAATAAATATGAGCTGTTGAATACTTTCTTACAAAATAGACTATCTTAGATTATTTTTTCCCAACTATAGGCTAATTCAAGGATTTAGAGCACTTTCAAGGTAGACTTGGTTAAGCAATGTTTGAAAGGTTAAATATATTAAATGCACTTTGGACATAGGATATTTTCAACTTAGCAATGGATTTATTGGGCTGTTACCCCATTATATGAATAGAAGAGCTTCTGTATTTGTTTCTAGAACTTACACTAAGCCTTAGAGCCCTGACCTTTATATATTTCCTTTTTCAGCATCTGAGATTCAAATGATGACCCTTCCCCCAGGTCAGTTTGTGATTACAGACAGTGGTGTGGCGGCTCCTGTCACCTCTGGCCAGGTGAAGACGGTCGCTCCGGTAAGCTGCCCTGCCCATGTGGTGCCCTGTTGAAACCCTTGTCAATTGACTGGTCTGTTTTCTGATTTCTCACGTAGAAGATTCCTTGAAAGCTGGGTCTATCCTTTTTTGGGAGAGTGGGCGGTGGTAAACGCTCAGTGAATACCTGTTTGACTAGGAGCTACAACCAGTCCCCAGATCTGTCTGTATGTGTTTGCCTTCTTATGTGCTCCTTGGAAATAGAGTCCTCAGCATTCCTGGTCTCAGGTGGTCTGGGCAGGAATAATATAGTGATTACAGAGCTATTTAACTACAGAGCTATTTTAAACCATTCACCCACTCCAGTATATAAAACATTGCTGTATATTATCTTGTCATATCTAAATTGGGAAGATACATTGTTGATGCTATTTACTGCTTATGTTTTCATTTTTTATTTATTTTCTATGCCTTTTTATTTTCTTTTTTAAAGATACAAAATAGAGGGGCTGGGGAGATGGCTCAACAGAATAAGTGCTTCCCTGGCAAGCGCAAGGGCCTGAGTTCAATCCCCGGTTCTGCAAAAGAAACAAAAAACAAAAAAACAAAAAACAAAGAAACAAAATAGTGATAGAAAAAAAACAGCATTAGGAGCAATACAAAATGTCACTGAACAAAGTAAAAGGAATTCAATAATGATTGCTGTTTTACATGATGCTATCTTCAAATTAGTTGTTGTGGTTACCAGATATAAATGTGCAAGATTTGTTTAAAGGAAAAACAAAACAAGGGCCGGCCAAATAGCTCAGTGGATTAAAGTGGCTGCTTAGGCAAACGCAGCTGCTTGGGGTGGATGCCAGGAGTGCTGTGCGGACCCACCTCCAGGGCATGCTGAGAAGGCGATTGAGACTGGGTGTGGTGGTGGCATGCCTGTAATCCCAGCTCTTGGGAGGCTGAAAACAGGTGGATCATGTGGCGTCTGATCTATATAGTTAGACCCTGTACTAAAAAATACAAAAAAAAAATTTTTTTTTAAAGGGAAAAGCAAAAGAATAACAAAAAAAGTTGTAAGAAAGTCAAAAGCAGAAAAAAAAAAAGAAAATGAAAAAATTTAAGCATTAACTGCTCCTTTCAAAAGTCCAGCAGAAATCAACAGTACAATTTTCCAAACGGTTCTGCATATATACCTAAGTAGTCTTTTTCCTTTCTTTCATTTGTCCTTTTTATGTTTTTAGTTTTACAAGCTTATTTTGACCTGCTTCTAAGTTTTTAGAAGATAGAATATATAGATTTCAATTGAAGAAAATACTCCTTAAAAAAAGAAAAATACTCCTAGGTAGGGAGCATGTGCTTTGCCTGTGTGATCCCATCCCCAGTAGCAAAAAAGGAAAACAGAAATTGTCTTGGTTGAAAGCGCTCAGATCTCACGTGCAGCCTGCGGCTCTCGCTCATAATGTATGGTGTACATGGAAATTGCTAAGAGAAGAGATCTTAAATAGTCTTACCACAAAAAATAAAGATGTGAGGTGATAGATACATTATCTTGATTTAATCATTTCACAGTGCATCACGTATCACATTATATTGTGTGCTATAAATAGCACAGATTTTTTCTCGGTTATGTATTAATAATGCAGGGAGGAAAACAACAATACTCCTAAGTGGCTAGAAATGTTGCAGGGTTCCTGGGGGATGATTATTTTCCAAGAAGCTTCAGAGGGAAGCAGGGTAGACTGGTGGCTTCAAAAACCTGATTTTCAAAAAAAGTATACTAAAATTTCCCTCATTTCTTGACACACCAGGTCACATGAACTAGGAGAGATGTACAAATCTACAGTGACGTTGTTGTTGATAAAACTAATATAAATGCAGCGCTCCCATGGGCACAGTCTGCGCCTTCTCTGCTGGACGACCTGCTAACTATGTGTGCGTTTGCTTGGCCACAAACTCACTTGAGAACTAACTACAGCCCAGGATAGTTCCCGTCCCCTGTACAGTATACACTAGCACAGCTTTCCTGTATGTTTTCAGGAGCTCATGGATTTTCTGCAGCCCACCTCTGTGCCTTCCAGGGCTCAGGGGATCCTGGGTTGAGAACCTCCTCCCTACTACAGGAAGATCTACATGGGAACTAAATTATAATCCCCAAACTGCTTGGCAGACAGTGATTCGGAACATGTACCCCAGATGAATCAAACGTGTATTGGGCTGGCCTTTTTTTCTGGGCAGGGCTTGGAATGGCTGCTATCTGCGTTTTCCCACTGTGACTTTTTCTCCCTGTGTGCTAGGCAGTTTTGTATTACTATAACAAAATACCTGAAGTAATTAACTTATAGAAGGTCTGTCCAGCTTACCGTTGCGCTGGCTCGGTTCACAATGCAGTGGCCCCGTGGCCTTGGGCCTCAGACGAGGTGCACCTGGTGGTGGTGGAGCACACAGCAGGGCGTCAGCCTGGGGGCACAGAGAACAGGAGCAAGTGCGGGGAATCCTGTGAAGGGCCCCACTTAGCCGCTGCCGCCCCGTGACAGCACTGCCTGGGGGCCAAGCCGTCAGCCCAGGGCCTTGGGGAACACTTAGTCAGACCACAGCTTTCTGGTTCTGAAGGTGGCCAGTGCCATTCTGACAGATACAGCCTGCCTTTTAAAATGTTAACATAGTGAAATAGCCGCCTTGTAGGTCTGTGAAGAAATTTTTATGCCCAGAGGAGAAATGAGGAAAACAAAGGTGATGTGAGAATGCCCGTCAGTCTGTCTACTCAGGGACTGCACTGGAGACTGTGGTCTTGTGCCCTTTTACCCCTCCATTTGCACGCTGTTGGGATCAAATCTAGGGCCTCTTGTGTGCTGAGCAGTCCCCCACTGAGTGACTTCATCGCCAAGAGTTCAAGCCCAGCCTGAATTACCTAGCAAGACCTCATCTCAACCCACCCACCATAAAAAAATGAATTCAGAAATTCTACCTGAATTTATAAGTGTTGTCCAATCAAATGTTTATATATTAATACAAAATGGATCAGAAGGGTAAAGTTTCCTTCCTGTGCTCCTGAGTGTTAAAGTGCATATTTGATGGTAGCATATTTTAAATAGCCTTACATGGCAAAATAAAACTTTTGGACCCATTTAGTACTATTTTTAACTTTTCTGGTCTTCCAAGTTCTAAATCTGGGAATCGTTGATCTACCTGCTTTAGGGGCCAAGCTGCCTCTTTAAGGAAACTATTTTTGGCAGGTAGGCGACATGATGCAGATTTCTGTACCTCAAGTTCTTCTCTGTATGATTTGGTAGCACAGCT